AGGAACAGCATACATACTGTGCTGCTGTTATAATACTAGTAGTTTTTATAATTTTATTGACTGTGCCTGGTGTATACTACTACTACTACTACAGTGGACCCTTGACTTACAGACGGCTTGACTTACAGACTTTTTGAGTTACAGACTTCTCTGGCTGCAAAATTTAGGTTTGACTTGCAGACTGAGATTTGACTTACAGACCAGAAAAAACCCAAAATGGAACAAAAACAGCCTGTTATGGGATTAATCGGTTTTCAATGCACTGTAGGTCAATGGAGACTTGACTTACAGACTTTTTGACTTGAGAACCGCCTTCCAATACGGATTAAGTTCTCAAGTCAAGACCCCACTGTACTAATAATAATAATAATGGTGATGATGTGAAATCTCTTAACATAAGATGTTACACAAAATGTGTACACAAAAAGGGCAGCTGTGGTAGATGGACTTAAAAGCCAGCATTTTGTATTCATACCATTTCCCCTCAGTTTTTTTGTCTTGGCCCCCCAGGGTGTCGGAGGAGTCTTTAATACCCCAAAATGGCCACTGCTATACCAGTACAGTATTTTTAATTTCTGAAAAACCGTTGTGGCATCCTTTACGGTCCCTACTGGATTTCAGCCACTGATAGCGGGCTCAGTCTTGCTTGCATCTTTCTCAAAACTCTCATTTTCTGAAAAGCCATTGTTACCCATTCTTGGTTCCCAAGCCCCACTTGCTGTCAGGGGGCCTCTCATTTAATCCAGGTGTCAAAAATCCACACCTAGCCATGCTTTGTAGCTCCTCCCTTGACTTCCCTCTGTTGCAGTTTTCTAGCCTCCCATTGTGAGAAATGTGGAAGCCCCTTGGGGCAGGGTCTTGTCACCTGAAATGATAATAGTAAAAAAAAAAATTTTTTTTTAAAAAACCTCTTTAACAGTTGCCTGCTGAAAGGAAAGGATAGATTTCCATGCTGAGATTACAGTATTCTGCAATTTTGGCACCAGCTTTGAAAAGGTCCCCCCCCCCCAAGTTTCATCTCTTGCTCCTCTGATTCTGTAGAAGGAGAGCAGGTCTGCTAAGGCCAATGCGACCTTGGGTAATGTTTGGTCCTCCAGATTTTGTAAATCAGCATAACCCTCTGCATTCCTACAAAAATGTGTCTCTCTGGTCACACTCCGCTTTGCACATAGCTAAGGGGGGGGAAATCTTAGGAGCGGACCTTCACAAACAACAGGAAGGCTATAAGTTGTCTGGTTTCAACTGTTAATTGGCTAAGAGCACCACCTTAAAGTAGGAGGATCCGTACACACATTTTTGGCCCACAGTTCCCAGCTTTCTTGAAGATTGCACTTGGGGGCTGGGGCTGATGGGACTTATAGTCCAACACATCTGAAGGGCATGAGACTGTCAGACAGAGGCTGCTGTAAAATAAAGCAATATATGAACTACAGTGGTGCCTTGCAAGACAAATTTAATTCATTCCGCGGTTAATGTTGTTGTGCGAAAAATTCATCTTGCGAAAGGCATTTTCCCATAGGAATGCATTGAAATCTAATTAATGCGTTCCTATGGGCAAAAAAAGTCAGAACAAAGTCAAATTTGGTTTACAAAGGGTTTATTAAGTGCTCTTTAACGCCATACATATTGTACAGATGATTTAAAAAATTTCAATCAAAAAACTTTAACTTTTTAAACGTCATAGAAAAACATTTAAAAATCAGCAGGAACAAAAAACAGAAAACATTCGTCTTGCGAAGCACGGCCATAGGAACATTTGTCTTGCGAGTCATGAACCCCATTGCCAAAACCATTTGTCTTGCGAGTTTTTTGTCCTACGAGGCATTTGTCTTGCGAGACACCACTGTATCAATATTATTAAATCATTATAAATATGCATGATGGCATCAAAATGGCTAGCACTTGTTGAAGCAAAGAGTTGTTTTAGTCCTGGCGAGATGACTGCAAATGTTAGACTTGTGCGGTTTTATATCTTTGGACCACAGCTCCCAGAATTCTAGGAGTTATTGTCTAGAAAAAACATAGAATCGTAGAATAATTTATTTGGACGCGGCCTATAAGGCCATCAAGTCCAATCCACTACTCAAGGCAGGAATCCATATCAAAGCAGATCTGACAGGATGATGGTCCAGTTTTCTCTTGAATGCTTCCAGCACTGAAGTGCTGACCACCTGCTGAGGTCATTGGTTCCATCGTTGTGCTGCTTTAACAGTTAAGAAGTTTTTCCTGATATTCAGCCAAAATCTCGCTTCCTGGAACTTGAGCCCGTTATTGCATGTCCGGCACTCTGGGATGATAGAGAGCAGATCCTGCCCCTCCGCTGTATGGCTAGATTTCAAGTGTTTGAAAAGGGCTATCCTATTTCCCCTCAGTCTTCTTTCCTTAAAGCTAAGCTTGCCCAGTTTTTTTCTGTCTTTCCTCACAGGGCTTGGTTTCAAGTCCTCTGATCATCCTTGTTGCTCTCCCTCTGAATTTCTCAGAAGGCGAGCAGCAAATATGAAGGGAGATCTGGGGTTTGAGGGGGAAGTGTATTCTCAGAGAAATGCATTTGACAAAAAGCGACTCTTTGGGACTACAACTCCCAAAAAATCTCTGAGCTGCCCTGACCCCTGGTCTCAGTGGCTGTGGGATGTTGAGAGACGTAGTTGCTTCCTGTTCTGAACTCAGATTGGAATGCCTTCCATTTTGCCTCCAGGAGCTGTCGCCAGGAAAAAAGATGGAGGAGAAGGACTCGCCAGGACCTAAAGGGAAGGGGAGGTTGGCCGCAGGTGGAAAAGATCTCCACATTGTCCAGGTAGAGACCATTGGGGAGTTTCTGACACTGGGTGTTTCTCCACCTCGGATTAAGCAAGAACCCGAAGAAAGGTTGCAGGAATTCTGGGAAGCCGAGAGGCAGGAGTTCTCAAAAACGGCATCGCCCTATTCTGAGCTTTCTGAGCCCGTGTCGGAAGAGAATCAGGGGCGAACTCGGCGCCATTTCAAAGGAGCAGATAACACCACCCTGTGGTCCCCTAGAGGAGAGCGTGTGGTTACCACTGGAGTAGATCTTGATGTCCAAGACCGCCCTGAGGCCTGCGAGGACCTGGATTCATCCGTGGACGTGAAGAAGGAGATTCCAGAGGAGGACTCTCTCAACCTGGAGATGCGATGCCAGCTTTTCAGGCAGTTCTGCTACCAGGAATCAGAAGGGCCCCGGAAGGCCTTCTGCCACCTCTGGGAACTTTGCCGCCAGTGGCTGAAGCCGGAGAGGCACACCAAGGAGCAGATCCTGGAGCTGGTGATTCTGGAACAGTTCTTGACCGTCCTGCCCCTGGACATGCAGTGCTGGGTCCGGGAACGGAGCCCGGAGAGTGGTAACCAAGCAGTGACCCTGGCAGAGGATTTCCTATGGAGGCTGCAGGGGGAGGAGAGCGCGGAACAACAGAAGGTGAGGATCATTTCCGGAGCTTTGAGAAAGTTATTTAAAAAAAAAAACACACAAAAAAGGGTTAATTCCCAAGACTCCAGGGCTATTATTCCAATGATGTTCAGTAGGACCTCTGCATCTGTGGGATCAGTATCCACTGATTCACTTATCCACAGTCTGAAAATATTAAAAATATATACAGTGGTGCCTCGCACAACGGGCGCCTCGTAGAGCGATGAATTCGCTCTACGAGGCCGGTTCTGCGATCGCAAATGCGATTGCAAAACAGTACCTGCATAGGGCGAAAATCGCAGAGTGAAGGTCGGTAAGCAGTTCGCTTACCGACCTTCGCTTTGCGACCCGCCGATCAGCTGTTCGGCGGCTACACAATGGCCGCCGGACGCCCCAAAATGGCCGCGCGCAGCGTTTTAGCGCCCTCGTAAAGCGAGGGGAGGGCGCGAAAATGGCTGCCGGCCATAGAGAAGCATCGTTGAACGGTGAGTATTCGTTCCAATGGGTTTTTACGTTCCAATGGGTTTTTATGTTCTAATGCGTTCCAATGGGTTTTTACGTTCCGTTCAACGATGCTTTCACACAGCGAGGGTTAATCCGGAACGGATTAACCTCTCTGTGCGAGGCACCACTGTATTTCTAAAAATGAAGTTATGAGATCTGGCCACTAGAGGGAGCCAGAGACCATAATATGTATACTGTTCAGTAGCAAGAACTATTTCTACAATGTCATTACAGGAACTGATCACTAGAGGGAGCCAGAGATTATGCTATGAATAGTGTTCACTATTAAAATAGTGTTTGCTATAATCCACATTTTCCAGTGTCCACAAGGAGACTTGGAACCAATCCTCTACAGATATGGGGGACCTACTGAAACTTTCCCAAGGTTTGGTTTTCAAAGGCCACAAGCTCTCCATCCACATGATTTAACATAAGTGGGGGTGAAGTGTAGCCTTGGGGCTCTATCTCCCCTCCCAAAGTCGGTTTTGCAAACCCCGGCCCCATCACTCTGTCCTTCCTCCAGAGTTTTCCCCCAACAAAGCCAGTCCAAGCAGGAGCTTCTTCCAGCGCTAGATTGTCTTCAAGTTAAGCAAACTTGTTTAAGGTGGGAGATCAGTCATTGTGAAGTGGAGAGCAAAGAGGGAAGATAAAAACCCTATAAACCCAGATGCTATCCCAGCCTTCCCACATCTGGTGCCCTCCAAAGAGATTATACTACAACTCCCATCCTGCAATCACTGGTCATGCTAGATGGGGCAAATGGGAAACATAGTCCGAAACAGCTGGAGCGCATTGGGGTTAGAGAAAGCAGAATTAGATCTTCTTTGTTTCAAGTGGGTCTCACGACGCCTTGTTTGGAAGGGTCCTTTTTGTACACGGTTTGTACCTTTTTAACGCTTGCAGGTGACTGCAAACCTACACTCACTCACCGGTCGTCTTATTTTTTAAACATCCTGCCTTGTGTCTCCTGATTCTGCTTTTTAGGCATTGGAGGATCTGGATGGTTTGCCCGCCGACTCCCCCGAATCGCAGCTGGATCCCTCAGACATTGTGAAGATTGAGCTGCCCCTGGATGGTGAGGGTGAGGAGGCCCCAAATGTTAGGGTAAAGCGATGGGCTTTGACCTTTGAGCTGAGGCTTCTGGGATGGGTCTGGTAGAGCCTCTGCGGGCTGAGCTTCACAGACAAATGCCTGTCCGAGAGGGGAAGGGGCTTGTCACCCACCACCTTACTTGTGAAACGGCTGGAAGCAGAGCCCTGCTTTTTGTAGCCTCTGGGTAGTTGCTGGGGGTCCCACAGGCTGCATATGCCTGCTCCTAGTTCTCAGAGGGCTATACCTACTCCCCCATTCCTCTATTCTCTTTAGAATTAAATTCATTTACATTCCTTATGCATTTTAATGTGTGGGGGAGACCATTCTATTGGATTTTTAAAAATCTGCATAAGCTATTTTAGTCCTAGGAGAGCTTTTCCTACAAAACTGAAAATAATTAGAAGTTGCTTGTCGTTCTTAGCTTTAAAAAAAGAGTTTAGGGGGAGCAGGGGAAGGGTGGGCTTGGGGGTGCCAGAAGTTGGACCCAAGGAGACCATGGTCCACCTTTTTCCCACCACTGATCTGTCTAGAAGAGGAATGAGGAAAAGCTCCAGGTTGTGGGCGAGAGATACCCAGCAGGATTTCCCCATCTGGAATGCGGTTTTCTTTTGCAGGGCACCATGTGCCAGAGATGAAAATACATTGGAGCTTTAAATACCCAACTGTGCTTTGTAGGTGCAAAAGGTTTTACATTACTAATTATTCCTGCATTGAGCTGGGCTTATATGGCTGCCAACAAAACATCCATATCCTTTAGTCTGCTGAGCTTTTTGCCTGCTCTGGACATTGCTGGAGGATACAATGTTATGCTTGGTGTGCAGAAAGTGGCTATAGAAGGTTCTTTCCCTCTCTGACAATACTAGGCCATCAAATTAGCCAAGAAATACTTGGGAGATTCAGGGGACACAGAAGGAAGTACTTTTCTCACTGGTTCCCAACCGTGGGTCCCCAGATGTTCTTGGACTAAAACTCCCAGAAGCCTTCACCACTGCCTGTGCTGGCCAGGATTTCTGGGAGTTGTAGTCCAAGAATATCTGGGCACCCAAGGTTAGGAACCACTGAATAGAGGAAACTCTGATCATGAGATGATGCTGTGATGTCCACCAGCTTGGATAGATTTAAAAGGAAATGGGATATTTGTGAACAACAATGCTCTTGGTTAGCCAGCGTAGTTATAGTGTCAGATTCAGGACTCATGAGTCTTGGGTTCAAATCCCACGCAGTCCTGGAAACTCCTGGGGTATGTGTGTTGTAATGGTGAAGGTAAAGGTTCCCCTTGACATTTACTCCAGTCATGTTCGACTCTAGGGGGTGGTGCTCATCCCTGTCTCCAAGCCATAGAGCCAGCGTTTGTCCGAAGAGAGTTTCCGTGGTCTTGTGGCCAGCACAACTAGACACGGAACGCCATTTACCTTCCCACCGTGGTGGTACCTATTTATCTACTTGCATTTGCGTGCTTTCGAACTGCTAGGTTGGCAAGAGCTGGGACAAGTGACGGGAGCTCACTCCATCATGCTGGTCTTCCAACCTTGCAGCAGGCTTGTGCAGTTTAATCTGCAGCACCACCACGTCCCTTAGTAATGGTGAAACCATTTCTTAAATATCTCATATACCTTGGAAACTGTACTAGGCTTACCATAAATTGGAATTGACTTGATAGCACCTGACACTCCAAGCTCTCTGTGGTGGCGAGTCATGATTGAATGGTTATGCTCCTATCAGAGATAGCATGTATGTCAATATCAGTTGCTGGGGAGCATGAACAAGTGGGTACCATTGTGGTATATTTCTTGTGAGGTGGCTGGATAGAGCAGTGGTATAAGCCTTTGGCTGTGGAGCCAGATGTTGAGAGCTCAATTTTTCACGTTATTTCTTAGGGACAGCCAACCTGTGTAGCCTTGGGCAAGCTTCACAGTCCCAAGGCTCCCCTGAAAGAAGGGAAGGGGTGAACCACACTTCTAAGTACTCCATTCTCTATATGAAAAACCCTGGAAAAGGTTGCCATAAGTCAGAATAGACTTGACAGCACACTATTATTATTATTATTTAAAAAGAATAAAGTGCTGGACTAGATAAGTCTTTGGTGTTTGGCTCTTATGGAGCCTGCCTTCTTTGCTGCCTGAAGCTAAAATTCCTAGCAGTGTTGAAAAAAACACACCTAGAATTAGTTTTTCGTTTGTGTGTGTGTGTGTGTGTGTGTGTGTAACTATGATTCTCAGATTTTTCCAGCCCTCTGCTATATCCTGTTGGGATGGCCACTGTTGAGAATATAACTCATGTCATGTGTGTTTACCTATTTTTGTTTTCCAGGAAGCAATGAGCAACCCCAATATATTCTTGGGCAAGGGGCTGGCTTACATGAGGGAATGTACAGCAGCGTGAAGAAAAAAGTGGGCCTTGACTCTGTTCCAAAAATCCAGAAAATGCCGCTGAAAGAAAAATCGCACAGGTGCCAGTATTGCGGGAAAGTCTCCGACTGCAGGGCCCACCTGATTATCCACGAAAGGACCCACACGGGAGAGAAACCACACAAATGCTCAGTGTGTGGCAAAAGCTTCACACGGAAAGAGTCTCTTATTATCCACGAGCGGTTCCACACCGGGGAAAAGCCATACAAATGTTCCGTGTGTGGGAAAACCTTCAGTGATAAAATCGGGCGCCTGATTCATGAGAGGACCCACACTGGAGAGAAACCGTATAAATGCTCCGAGTGCGGGAAAAGCTTTGGCACCCGGTGTAATCTGCTGAGGCATCGGCGGGTTCACACGGGGGAGAAGCCGTACAGATGTTCAGATTGTGGACAGAGCTTTAGGTACCGACCTCAACTGGTGATCCATGAAGGGAGCCATAAGGGGGAGAAGCCCTATAAGTGTGCAGAGTGTGGGGAGAGCTTTAGCCAGACCCGGCATCTGGTCATACACAAGTGGACTCACACAGGAGAGCGACCTCATAAATGTAGTGTCTGCGGAAAAACTTTCAATCAGAAATCGGACCTTATCACGCACACGCGGACCCACACAGGTGAGAAACCCTACGTCTGTTCCGAGTGCGGGAAGAGTTTCATTTCCAGCTGCCAGCTTCGGAAGCATGAAAGAATCCACACCGGAGAGAAACCATACCAGTGTCCCGAGTGTGGCAAATGTTTCACCTACAGCTCTCACCTAACGACACACAAGCGGACGCATACGGGGGAGAAACCGTACCAGTGCCCGGATTGTGGCAAATGTTTCATCTCGAGTTCTCACTTCACCGCACACAAACGGACTCACACGGGCGAGAAACCGTACCAGTGTTCATACTGTGGGAACAGCTTCATCCAGAGATCCCAACTTGCTAAGCACGAGAGGTCCCACACGGGGGAGAAACCCTATATATGCTCTGAGTGCGGGCAGAGTTTCCGGTGGAGCCAGGGGCTCAAAAAGCACATGCGGACGCACACGGGAGAAAAACCATACAAGTGCCCAGAATGTGAGAAAACCTTTTCCAGCTCTTCAAATCTTTCTAGGCATCAGAAAATCCACACAAGAGAGAAGCTGTAAAGATGCTTAGGCGATTTAAAGACTACAGTGAGAAGCCCTTAAACACCTAGACTGCTTTTCCACAACACTAGCACATGTGTTGAACTAAAACTTCCATTAACCCTGCTGGTTGGGTTTGATGGGAGATGTAGTCCTGCACCCCTGCAGGTTAAAGGCTGAGGAAAGCTGCCTTGGACAGTGAGAGAAAGCATAAGCCAAATATCAGAATTCCCCACAGAAACAAAAACACCCACCTGTCACAGGATGGATTTCATTCAAATCAAACTAATTTAAATCATGTTTTTTTAAAAAAATGGAATTTTTTTTGGACAGTATAAATCTTTTAAATTTTTTTCTTAAATCATGATTTAAATAACAAACATTGATTTTATCCACCCTGCCTGTGCGGGGTTTGGGTTGAAAAACATGTCCAGGGACTTCACATATCATAGAGGATTTGCCCAATAAACCAGGAATAGGCCTCACGATGTTTTAAAAATAACAAGTCCCACAATCCTTTACCATGGTGGGTGGACCCATGAGAGTTGTAGGCCACAATATCTGGAAAGCCAGCCATCTCCCCATTCCTGCTGTAAATAGAATATTCAATGGAACTGGTTGGAGCCCTATCTTGTTGTGCTACGTCCCTCCCATAGGAGTCCTCAGAGCACCTTGCAAGCCCTGAGATGCTGAACAATTTGACTCACCCTGGCCCTTGGACAGCAGAAATTAAAAAACACAGGTTGTGCCTCTGTCTCTGGAGGACATCACAGCAAAAGAACAACTCATAAGGCCCCATGCGTTGGACAGAGAAGGGCAGAGGCTGGCAGCTTGCTTCCCCACTCCCTGCGGTTGTTGTCATTTTTGTCATGATGTGCAGCCAAGTCCCATCTAAGCTATGGCAAACTCATGAATGAGCGACCTCCAAAAATGTCCTGTTCTCAGTATCCCTGCTCAGCTCTTAGACGCTCAAGGTGGTGGCTTCCTTGATGGAGTCCATCTGCCTCACGTTATTTTTTTTTCCTGCTGCTAGATTTCAAAATGGCACTCGTCCTGGGGGCTGGAGAGGGGGAAGGGAGGCATGTCTTCGCTGCTGGCTAGCAAGACAAGGCTTTGGGGTTTTTTTTGTGTGCCTCAAAGCTCGGTTGGCACCTGAAGGAGGCAAAGGCTGTCACCCACATTCCTTCATGGCCCCTCTTTCTTCTCTGCCACCTTTGATGCTCTGGTTCTCTTCCCCCAGATGCCCACCCTCTCTGCCCCTCTGAGGCCGACATTGAGCAGACTGTTTGGAAACCACAACTGGGCACCCCAAGCAATGAAGGCTGGCCTCCCTCTTGAAGGCCAGGTCTAAAATGCCTGCCTCTGAGGGGTCCTTCCCTTGTGCCTCGCCTTGCAGGCCAGATGTTGGGTGTGTGTATGTGTATGTGAGAGAGAGACAGAGACCCTGCAACAGGAGCTCTCTGGGACTCTCCAGACCATGAGGCAGAGTGAGTGCTCTGCCTCAGGGGGCAGAGGCTGGGGCCTGTCACACCCTTGGCTGATGGTTCCCAATCTTAGGTCATCAGAGTGTTCTCGGACTGCAACTCCCAGAGACCCCAGCCATCACAGGTAGTGGTAAAGGATTCTGGGAACTGTAGTCCAAGAACACCTGGGTGACCCAAGGTTGAGAACTAGCGTCCTAGGGTGTTCTTTTTTTGCTTCCCATTTTAGCCCTTTCTGTTGGGGGGGGCTGGGAAGCTTTTATGGGCATCAGTGTCGTCCCCTCAGATTGCTTCCTGCCCTGGGGCATAATAGAGGGCATTAACATTCATATAAGATCAATCTGCCAGTCTACTTGGCTTCGGTATTGGACTGGCAGGGTGCCATCTTGTTCTTTGCCTCAGGCAGCTCTGTGCCTTAGGCAGTGCTATCTCCATGGTTACCTCCCCTCCCCTCAAACAGTCTGCTTTGAGGGAAAAAGCCTTTAGTGCCAAGCATTTGGGGCCCTGGCTAGTTCTGGAAAGCAATGATCTCGGCACTCTGGAGGCCTGAGGCTCTTGCCTCACTTTGCCCAATGGATGGACTGGCCCTGTCTTCAGGAGTCCTAAGACCCCAGAGAAATCGTTTGTTCAAAAAGTAGTGTATAAAATCTCAATATGTTTCAGAATAAATTTGTATAGCCCTTGCATGCGATTCCTGCTAGATTTTAATAAATAAAATAAAAACGTGGTGGTGATGTTTAGGAACTGGAAGTGTGTATATATATTTATTTTTCAACTCTCTTGTTGATTCTAGTTACTGCTAGTTCATGGCTTCTTACTTGTGTGCAAATATTAGGGTGAGAAAATCATTTCTGTTGGGAGCACTGGGATGACTTTGTATATATTTATTTTTGTGTGTACATTTGTTTTCAACAGTAAATTGTTGCATCACCAAGCCAAAAAGAGCGGGATCAGCTGCCAAGAAACATACAAAAGAAGAAAAAGCGCCTCCCATAAATAAAGTTTTTCTGCCATACATCAAAGGGGTCATGGACCACATGGGGAAACTTTAAAAAAACAACAACCTAAAAACAGTATTCCGCTCTCAACAAGCACAACAATACACCCGTAACAAAAAACATGCTGATTACCATAATCACCCAATTTCTTGAAAAGGACAAATAGCTGATCCCATAGCTATAAATACTCAACTATCCCACACACTACACCAGAACACAGACAGATTTTTAACTCCTGTCCTCTGAAGATGCCGGCCAGAGAGACTGGCAAAACGATAGGAACCTTCAGAACATGGCAAACAGCCCCAAAAACATACAACAGCCATCAGATCCAGGCCATTAAAGCCTTCAAGAATACAAATATGTAAAAATCCATGCAAGCTTGGATTTTCTGCAGATGGATTAACTGTGGCTTTTAATTTAAAAATTTCATTAATTCCTGATTACATTCTGGGTGCCCTATTTCATTTGCCATTGAAGAGCGTGTGGGGAGATGTTTATGATGATTTAGTTATAATTAATAGGTAAATCACAGAACAGGTCTATTCATGTAACAGATGCTGTGAAATATCCATGTCCTGAGTATCACTCTGGTAGCTATGCTAATCTGTTTTGCGTGTATAATGCAAAAAAACAAACAAAAAACAAACAAACAGTATGTTGGCATCTTTAAAATTAAGAGGTTTATTTTACTGGGTGCTTTCATGGATTAGGATCCACTTCTTCAGACACAAAGATCAGAATCCCATTAGTTTTTCATCCTGCTCTTAAGCGTGGATGGCTGCTAATTAACTAGTTGCCGTTTACTAGTAGCATGGTTTGGCACACAAGTAGTTAACTAGCGGGAATTTGCCACTGTGATTTAATAATAATCATGTGCTGCTAAGTGAATTCTAATTTATGGAGACCCTTTTTCTAGATAGAGAGTACTCAGAAGTGGTTTCCCATTTCCTTCTTCTGGAAGGTGCCCTGGGAGCTGGACAGCTTTGCCCCAGGGTCACCCAGGCTGGCTCTTCTGGGATGCCCAGTGGAGAATTAAACTCCCAACCTCTGGCTTGGCAGCCAGATATCTAAACCACGGAGCTCTTAATGAGCCCACTGTGATTTACCCCATGGCACTTCTGCCAGTGTGAACAACCCAACAGGACTGTGACCAAAGAATATGTTATTCTGCCCATGGGATTACATGCACAGTGCATGTAACCAAGTGGAATGGGATAGACACTATGACAATTACATTATTCACCCTGGGATTGATTATAAGGGACTGTCAAAAGTATTGCTTGTCCAACAAACCAGAATGATTTACCCCATGGCACTTCTGCCAGTGTGAACAACCCAACAGGACTGTGACCAAAGAATATGTTATTCTGCCCATGGGATTACATGCACAGTGCATGTAACCAAGTGGAATGGGATAGACACTATGACAATTACATTATTCACCCTGGGATTGATTATAAGGGACTGTCAAAAGTATTGCTTGTCCAACAAACCAGAATAAGTTATGGTTGTTGTGGGTTTTTCAGGCTCTTTGGCCGTGTTCTGGAGGTTGTTCTTCCTAACGTTTCGCCAGTCTCTGGCCGGCATCTTCAGAGGAC